GGTAGCTTTTAAGGGTCCATGGGGGGCATCTGGGTGGCTGACAGTGATTGGGTGATATCAGCGCTTGGGGTGACTGGTTGAGAGGGATGTTTGCTAACCTAGTCAAGGCTCAAGCATGCTGCGGGTAGTTTCTATTGACTTGAACTTTCAGAGTCATGCCTCACCTTAGCACTTGAGTACTTGTTCTTGACAGCTTAGAAATAACTTTTCTAATAACCTAGAAAAAAAATTGGCTTTTAAACCAAACTTCAACCAGTTGTAAAGAGCTTGTTTAGAGAAGAGAAATTTAAGTATTTGCATATACTCAAACAAATAGCATGTTGATACAGCTGAGGGATAGTAACTTGCTTTCATGAGGTTTATTTTTTCACTGCTTTGAAGCTATTTTAAAAAAAGAATGCATTGGGGGAAATATATTACAGTTAGTTACCCTGCATTTGATTTTATTTCAGCTTGCTTTTGGAAATACTGCGTTGAGCGCAGGTAGTGTTTAACCTTCAAGTTGATGGGTCATGCTGAAGACTAGGATACTGATGCTGAGAAAGGAACTTTCAAACCCTGAGGAGTATTCTACACAAGTGGTTGAAGAGCAATTAATAAAGCAACTATCTGACCATATTTGCCGGGCGTATAATAGGGTTTTAAAAGGGAAATGTAAAAAACTCTATTTAAGATGGTAATACAATAAAAAAACATTTTTTGTACAAGCAACACCACACAAAAGACTACTTGTGTTAATAAGCATTAGGAAATCAGTAGCTCTGTCTCCACAAACATGCCTTTAAGTAATGGAAACAAGCACTGCAAAACTGTGTCTAGATATACGTCTTATTGCATGTCAAGGCCACTCACACAGCTTGTGATATTGTTAACACCACAACTTGCTTTCTCCCTCCATTTATCTCATCTAATTTGTTCTCCAGTAATTTTTTTTTTAAAAAATCTTTCAGTAGTCTTTTAAAAATAGAATAACTCAAATGTGGACAAAGGTATTTTCTTAAAATAATGTGTTTTAAGATGGGCCAGACTCAGACACTCAAAATGTGTAGGAGGTACAGATTCATTTAGTATATACTCAAAATGTTTGGCAGATGCAGATTCATTTACTGTGGAATTACGCCGACATTTTAGCTCACCCCATCCCAGGACAAATGAAGTGACTGCAGTTCTCTGATATGCTGGGTCATTTCTGTGACTTCTCTACCCACATCTTGTCCCTGTGCTGCCAGAAATATGCAAACATCAAACATAACATGCTGGTTCAGGTAGCATCATGTGCACACAACAATCCATCGTGGATGGCTGGAGCCATGAACTTCTTTTGCATGAGCAAGAGGAGTGAGGAAAATGCAAAACATTAGGTTTCAAAACTATCAGTGGCCACAAGCATTTAATCAATCTCATAGAATCAGAACAGTTTGGGTTGGAAGGGACCTTTAAAGGTCGTCTAGTCCAACCCCCTGCAATGAGGGGGGACATCTCCAATTAGATCAGGTTGCTCAGAGCCCCGTCCAACCTGACCTTGAATGTTTCCAGGGATGGGGCATCTACCACCTCTCTGGGCAACCTGTGCCAGGGTTTCACCACCCTAATTGTGAAATACTTCTTCCTTATATGTAGTTGAAATCTGCCCTCTTTTAGTTTAAAAACATCACCCCTTGTCCTATCACTACAGGCCCTGCTAAAAAGTCTGTCCCCACCTTTCTTGTAAGCCACCTTTCAGCACTGGCAGGCTGCAGTAAGGTCTCCCTGGAGCCTTCTCTTCTCCAGGCTGAACAATCCCAACTCTCTCAGCCTGTCCTCACAGGAGAGGTGTTCCATCCCTCTGATCATTTCTGTGGCCTCCTCTGGACCCGCTCCAACAGGTCCATGTCTTTCCTGTGCTGAGGGCTCCAGAGCTGGACGCAGGACTCCAGGTGGGGTCTTCCAAGCAATGTCAGATTTTAAGGAAAAAACCCACCTCTGTTTGCTGAGTGTCTGAGGCTTTTGTCCCTTCCCCTGACAGTATTGGCAGTGCGGGCATGTGATTCTGAGGAAGCCTTAGAAAAAGAGGGCAGGGCGAGGGAGGTTGAATGAATGCTTTGGAGGCAAAAAGAATTTTCATGGTGTCTGTAAACCATAAGCATGGGCATAACACATACCCGTGTGGTGTCGCAGGCAGGTATGGCTCTTGCCCTTTTCCGTCAGTAAGGACGAGCGGTGATGGGCTGCCGCTGAGCCCCGGCATGCCAGCTCCTGAGCTGCAGCCGGCTCTGGATGTGGACATGGGTGCTGTGTTTGGGTTGGGAAAGCAGGCAGGGCCAGACCACAGGGCGGTTGTTACCATGGGTCAAGGGGAAGGATGCCAATGTGGGAGCTTATGGAAGAGAATGGTGATATTTATTCTGAAGGGGACATATTTTACTCACTTTTGGTGTCCCATGGGTCACCCGCACCCAGACACCTGCCCAGGTGGTCTGTGTGTGAGGTGGCTGGCCAGTGCCACCAGCTGTCGGCACAGCTTTCGGGTTCTTCACTGGTGACAAGAAACTTTTCTGGATGTGCCTTTTATACCCCCTAGGGATCTGTCAGGATCTTTAAGTCAAAGGCAAAATTCCTGCTTCCCATCGTTCTGTTGTTTATCAGGATGTTTTATGGCTCCCCTCCTCTTCCTCCTCACCTCTTTACCTTGGCCTGAAGCTTCAGTTTGTTCTTTGCCTTCTGGCAATTCGGTCTTTTGAATGAGTTTACTTCTACAGCCCAGGTAGGAATTAGCCCTTCTTTTAACCCTTGTTTTTCTGTTTCTTCTAGTGCTTTCACACGCCCGTTTTCGTTCACCTTCACCAACCTCAAGACTTGTGTTGCAAACAGTCTGACCTGTGCCGAAGGGCATTGCTCTCGCCAGCGTCCCAGGCGTGATTCGGAGGTAGGCACTGTTCTCCGCAAGCAGCGTGGCCACCCTGTTTCCGGGAGGTAGAAAAGAGCCGTATGGATGTGAACCACACGGTACTGCATGCTGCCAGGGCCAGAGAATAGCCCAGGGTCTCTGTTATTTATTGATGATAAACAGCCATGACTGTGTGTATAGCGAGACGTACGAGAGGGCCAGGAGCAGGCTCATGCATTTCGACTGCCGCCGGAGCTGCCGAGCAGCGTGGACAGTCCCCAGCTGCTTTGGATCATCCTGAGTGGATCTCCCAAGACCAAGCAGTTAAAAATGTGGCCAGCCCCGAACCACCGTGGATGCGGGACAGTTCGTGCTGGGTGGCTCGGTGGTCGGGGATTTCACACTGGCCCTTTGGGTTTTTATTCAGCAGCAACAGCCAGCATGTGTTGCTCCCAAGATCTCACTGCAGGTCTGCGACATACATGATTCCTCCAAATCAAAGCTGGGTTAAAATTTGCCTCTTGCTTCTTAAAACCCAAGCTACCGTTGGAACGCATCTTACCAGGCAATTACCGAGGAAATAAAGACAGAACGCTGTTCAAATTACTTACGAATTTGTATATTTTCTATGTAAATTTGTAAGGCATATGAAAGGAGTATACAGATTTCATTTTTAATATATTTTGCATATATGTATGTATTTGAAAATACAAAGTAGCAGTTAGTAATGTGTGATGAGTGACTGCTCAGCTATCAGCCCCAGTATGAGAGTTCACAATTGAGGGTGGGAGGGGAAAGGTGTTGTGTCTGTTTTCTCTAAAGGCAAACTAAAACTGCAAATTTAAAACTGCTTACAAACAATTGTGATGATAGCACATTTGCATCATAACTGTGTAGTGTGTAAGACGAAGACACTGCAGACACAATATATCTGACACCAAGTATTGCCGTTAAGTAATGCTTTGTTAGAAAGCAAGTGTACGTTTGGCGTGGACAAGGACGAACGGCTAGTCTGTAACAGTCTTTTTGTGGATATGGGTGCTACGAAGGCTATTTTTTAGCCATTTTCACATCTATTTTGTGCATACAGGCAAAATCCATCCGAGGAAACTTCCAGGTGACCCTCTGACTACAGCATTGCACCCTCTACTCCTATGTGCTTGCTGAGGGCCTGCTCAGCAGAAAGCAGCTGTGGACGTCACTTTTCATAGTCCGTAGGTCTCTAATAGCACGTTCCCTGATGCCAGCCCAGAGGCTGTTTCTCACCAGGACTGGCTGCCTTGAACACAGACTCGTGCAAGGTTGGAGGGGTTCACCCAATCCATCCCCTGCCTGAGGCAGGTCGACGTTGTTCCTGGCAGATACCTGTCTGTAAAGCTCTCAGCAACGAAGTCCTAACAGCTGCCCTGGGAAAGCTGATATGCTGGAGCTCAACCAGGAAAAGGAAGTATAGAAGGACTATTTCTTTCTTAGACCCTCTCCTCCTCTTTGCTTTCCAAAACCAAATGAGAGTCACGGAAGGATGACAGACAAAGATCACTAGCTGGGGACAGATGTTGACCCATTTCTTCTGTCTACAGTAACGACCAAGCCTCTCCCTCCTCCTTTGTCAAATATTATTGTCAGATAGTCCATAGGACAGTGACAGTCTGTGGTCCTCTCTTTGAGAGCACCAGGAGGGAAGTTCGATGGGTTATGCAGCCCTGAGAGAGGAGAAGGCAGGATTTTTTATTTATTTCTTTGTTTTTGATACCAAAGAAGACTCAAAGCAACGTGAAAAGGAGTTGTTGTTCGTTGACCTGCCCTGCAGGTCTCTAGCACAGAGGAGAGAGCTTCTGGGAAGTCAGGTGTGGTCCCACCTACAGACTGGCCCCTCTCCTGGGTTAACTGGTGCGAGGGCACCAGCTGCTGGCTTGCAGCCCTCTGAGGCTTGCAGAGGAGTGACCAGAAACCCTCCCAGTAACTGTCAAGTTTGGCAACAACTGTGAAACAGAGATCAGAGGCAGCAATAACGACAGGTTAAATGTGTGTTAGAAACAGGGCTATTTCTTCTCAAAATTCAGCAATTTAGCATAAGTCACTAGTCTGTAATATTGCTATAATCGTGTGACCTACACTGCTTCCCCAACTTCAACAAATGCTTTAACAGTAACCGGTGCCTTTACCTTGCAATGCACAGCAGACATTCACGTGTGCATGCATCTGTACAGACACGCAAACATATACATACATAATTTAAGAATGAGCAAATAATGCTATACAATCATTATAAAAGAAGGATTGGCCAGTAGCAGAACTTAAAATTACACTGCAGAGTGTATGCTGGCTTTTACTTTCCATCTTGGCTGGTGCCCATCTAAATCTCAGAAGTAATAAAGAACGGAGGCATCTTCTGTTTACTTCATTCTCTTTGCAACATCCAAATACGCATACTCGATTTCTTGATCGGCAGGACAAGTGTTTGTAAATTCATCTCTTGCATACGCATTGTTCAAGTATCTTGAAATCCCTGTCATTTCAGGTGGAAAATCAAAATTTCTATATTTTTTTGCAACAACCTGTTAATAAAAGAAAAAAAAATATTATTACACAAATGATCTGCATAGAAACTAAATCTACTCTTTATGCATATTTTAAAATTTCAGTGTGTAAGTCTGTCGCTATATGCAACGTAGGGGGAAAGGATAAGGAAAGACCAAAAAAAAGAGAAGACATGGGATGGAGAAAGCTAGCTAACAAGCTAACTCACTTGAAAGGATTTATCGGTATAAATATTTTGCTAGAGCTATGCAGAGCTATGTGGACCAGTAGACTACACCTGGAAGAGTTGCAGCTTAAAATAGCAAAGGAGCTGGCATAAACCAGAATTAACAGAATAATCTTACAGTAATAAACTGGCCCACGCTTGGATACTCCCACTGAAACAGAAAGGAAAATCTTGAATTAAAATACTAGATTTCAAATGGCTAGGGAAAACAGCTATTGGCTGCTACCTAATCCCTCGCTGTTGGCCAGCAAGGAGGGTGTGACGTTCATCCTCCATCAGCCTTCAGACATTCACCTGACATAAGGTGATTCTCCCTGTATTGGCTCTGCTGACCCTTGCTACCTCTTGAGCTTCGCTGTGCCTGAGCTTGGCGTGGGAAAGGCTTCATTCCCTTGCTGTTCTCTCTGGAATAGGTTCAACCAGGACATCCCTGGGGAAAGTTTTCACTCGTGGATGTGTCAGAAAGCAATTCAGTCCACTCCTCTTCCTCTGACAAAGTAGTACTCAAAAAGGAAACTTTCTGAAATTTGTTTGAAATTTGTTTGTTTGAAAACCAGGCGAATTTCCAGCATGACCATTTCTCTTCCAGAAAAGAAGAGTGGCTGGCTCCAGAGTAGCCCAGCAACAGGCTGTGACAACGCCCAGGCATCTCGGTAACCAGGACTGTTAGGTGTGGGTGGGTGCCCCACAAGCCTTGCAAGAAGTGGCTGGGAGCCTTGGCTGGAAGGCAGTGGGTGGTGGCTCCCCTGCCAGCGTTACTGGTACTGGTGGTGATACTCAGCAAAGCACGAGTTTTGGATTAAAGGTGGGAGACAGGTTCGAATTTCAGCTTTTGCTGGCTTCTTGAATTGGCATGGACAAAATAATTTACCCTTACTGGTCCATGGCACTTTGCATATGAAATGCAAATGAACACACTTCTCTACAGCACCGAATATAGCACTCATCTCATACCTGTGAGAGGCTTAGCGAGTGCAGTCACAGCCCAGATAGGAAACCAGATATTCTAGCTCCAGAGTCATCAAGCTGAGGACCTGCCTAGCTGTGCTGTGATGAAATGGCCCTGTACATCAGCATTCAGTGTCTCCACACAGCTACTGTGTGGCCTCAGAAGAGATGAAGGATTCCTCTGCCTTTTAGGAAAGGACTTGAGCTTCTGTGTTGCCCTTCCCTTCAGGAAGCTAAAAAGCAAATGCAAACCTTGATTATATGGAGCTTTGGTAGGAGGTTGCAATCCGCTAAGGTGAGCTCATCTCCATCCAGGAATTTCCGGCTGGAAACAGTGATCTCCTCAGTGCTGTAAGCATCAATTTCATCAGGCAAGGGGCTGTTTAAATAGTTGTCCAGCTTCCTCAGGGCTTTAAGCAAAGATTTTTCCAAATCTAGGTTAAGACAATAAAAAGGTCATTCAAGCCTGTACCAAGGTCTCTCTGACACCAAGCAGAAAGGCAACTCCTGCATCCTGTCTCCTGGCACCAAGCCAGCTCGCAGACACCCGGCCATGCCAACTCCTGCAATTCCTTTATCCTAAGCTTAAAACTTAATGCTGGGATAAGAGCTCTAAGTAGCTAAAGGGTGTTCTGAGAAAAACCAGGCTGGGGCTGTCTTACCAGAAATGGCTCCTCAAACATCTCTGTGGGGTGTGCTTTTGCGGAGTGGCCTGGCAGAGTGCCTCTGCCTTCATATTGGCTCTTGCCTTGGGAGCCACGGGGCAAATGCCTGCCCACAGGCTGGATAGCAAGGCTGGGGGCAGCGACAGCGGGGCACCGGGATGTCGCTTTGGGGCGTACGGGAAACCGGCCCGCGAGCCCTGTGCTTTCGACTGGGCGCACAGGAGAGGGGTCAGGGCAGCGGGGGCTGGCAAGGGTTGTCTGGGGGTTTTGCAGGCTGGTGGTGCCCGAGTGCCACTGTGGAGAGGGGAGAAGGGGACAGCAAGAGGAACAGGGCTGGGAGCTGGAGGACAGGATGAGTTAATGCGTGGTGGTAGTGAGGGTCCTGCTCTAGAGAGATGTGCCATGGGACTGGAGTCCTTGTTGTTTACAGAAATGGAGTGGAAAGGTAAGGTCTCAGGTCAAACGTTCTGCTTTTAGCAGGGCTGTGGGGAAGGTGCACGGGCTTGAGAGATGAAGAAATGAGGAGGAGCTGGAGTTGGTGCTCCCATGCTCCCAAGTGGTATCTGCGCAAACTAACTTTGGGAATCCTCAAATAAGAGAGTGAACAGGCACAGATTTCCACAGCCTTTACGCTCTGGAAAAGCACTGTTTAACCTGAGCTGTAAATGGGGTATCTCCAGCACAGTGTGCTAGAATTGATTAGAATTGATTAGAGTGATTACTAGCAGGGCTGATGTAAGGACTGCAGCACGTACTTTCATTAGCATCTTTTCTTGGGTTCTTTATGAACGCAGAGAATTTTGCAAACACATCGTTTCCTGCAGAGTTAGACTCAGGGTGGTTCGGCGCAAGTTTGGGATATCTGAGGAGTTAAAAGAAGCAAAAAGAAGTTATAGGGCTAGCCTCTATTTTCACCTCCACTACTTAATATACATTATTTACTCTGCAGCATCACAGTATATGGCCCCACAGGAATCTCAAAGGTAATCATGCTAAACTAAAAATCACTTAGCAAGTGCGAATTTAAACCACAGTTAAACCACGTGGCTCACCTCCTTTTCCTAAGGGAGACGGGAAACAACTTTTTATCACTGCAAATGCCACCCAAACAGCCCAGTGCCTCTCCCAGGCCTCCTCCGCCGGAGGTGAGGCTGCGTGGAGCGTGGCTCCAGCCGTGAGGAGGAGCGGAGGGAAAGTCCCTACTCGCAGGAGCTGCTGCTCCGCCCGGCCTCCTCGCCTGTGCAAGCTCGGAGTG